TGCTTAGAGTGGTCAGTAAGGCTGGTCTGCTCACAGTGACAGTGTTAACACACAAGTATAGCTGAGGTTGATACAAATGTCATTAGTTGTGTGTGTATTTAGTCACCAATTAAATCTGAAAAATAACTTTTTGACCTTAAATGAAAAGTTGAGGATCAGTATCTGTGAGCTGTCTATAGCTAACCACAGCCTTGTGATCTTTACAGGGTGCACATGATGAAACTTTAGCCTGCTGGCTGTTTTTGTTATACAGTCATTAGGCATTTATCCTCTGGGTACGGTTAATTTTGTGGTGATCACCATGATCAGTCTTCTTTACCTCCGAAGACCGTGAACAGTCTGTCACAGTTGTCACCGCTGACCCTTGAGCTACGATGCTAGTGTGACTAAATAAGGGGAATAAGGTGGCGATGTTAGCGCTGAGGGTAAGAGCACCAGTTAACATACCGTTTTATTATCATTTGTGCCCAGTCTCATCATGAGTAAGGCAGGCGCTGATGAAGGTGGAGCTGGGGGCTGCGGTGACTCAGCCCAACAGCTGGAGGCTAAAGATGAAAAAGGAGGAAAGTTGCTGAGCAAACTGCCTGCTGGATCCGGCTGGACCAAAGTGAGCTGCCCCTGCTGCTTCTCAGAGCGGGTGGAGCCGCTGGTTCTGGTGAAGCTTGGCGGGAAAGTCGGCCCCGAGACGAAGCGCTGGCTCATCAAGGTGATTGGAGCTCCTCAGAAAGATGGAGGTGAGGGCTCAGATATCAGCAACAGCACAGAGCTCACTTCAGTTTCTGCATCGATTGGAAACTCGCTTTCAAAGAAAAAGCATGCGGATCAAACATTTATGAGGATTTCTCTTGTGCCAGGAATGAACGTAATAGGAGAATCATTTCCAGGAAACATGGCTACTCTTTAAACATTTGATTGAATTTGCATTTCCAAGCTACATGTCAGATAAATGCAGTTAAATGACTCCTATGAAAATGTCTGACATGGCTGCACAGAAAGCATATGCCAGCCATAACCCACATGTCATATCAGATAAACACACAGACACAAAGAAACTACTCTTTAAGATAATAATATTTATGTTCTTTCGCTTTGTTATTGTTGTTATGGCAACTAAAGATGTTTGGACGAATGGATAAAAACTGCTCTGTCCACGACTCTTTGCAGTGTTTTGTGTTGAAGCAATGCTATGCAAACTAGACAAGCTTATCTCCACATAACACCTCACTGAAATTCTAGCAGGGACCACAAAGTTGGGAAAGGTTTGGGAAATCTGTATGAAAGGATGAAC